CATTGTATCACTTCACTTCTTCTCTTCTCACCCCCGCTTTGGGGATCTCCTGCCCTTTAAGCCTTGTGTGTCCTAAGGTCTATAACTGCCAAGGGAAGTGTAAGGGGTGGGGCAGAGCTGGGGCCAACTGTGGTGGACACTCCCCAGAGCTAGCTCTGCTGGCCAAGGTTGGAGGAATTTTCCAGCACAGGAGAAGCAAGGCTCTAAGTACCTCTGACCCCCATGCCATCTCTGATCTACATCTTCCTGACTGATTCCTTCCCTCCTCCCCTTCCCCCTCCTCCCCATCCAAGACTTACCAGCCAATGGCTTCAGCAGTGGAAACCAGCCAGTGAAGAAGAGCTTCTTGGTATATCGTAATGACTGCAGCCTTCCCCGGAGCAGCTCAGACTCTGAGTCCAGCAGCAGTAGCAGCAGCAGTGCTGCTTCAGACCGAACCAGGTACCAGCCCTCCAGATCAAAGCCTGCCTCTGGGTTGCTCTTCTGGGTTTCGCTATGGGAAGTGAGGTGGCAGCCATCTCAGCCTAGATTAAGATGGCTCAAACCCAAGGTTCTCTGCAAAATAATGGAATAGATGTGAATTTCTCCATAATGGAATGGAGGGACCATACTGGGTTCACCTGATGTTTTAGAGCAGAGGGCATAAACTGATGCCTTCTGTGGCCTGGATTTGGCCTGCAGACGTATTTTGTTTGGCCAGTATGGTGGGGGAGTTTTGTTTGTTTGTTTGTTTGTTTGTTTGTTTGTTTTTAATGAATCCAGAAGTACCACATAAAACTCTCAATATTTTAAAAATTAGATCTGGCAAATCTGGCCAGTACTGCTTTTAGACAGGGCATGCATTCAGCACCACCACTGCTAAATCGAACCCACATTAGTCAAATCATTGCCTAGTCCCAAAAGAGGGCATTTGGATTTGAAATTCTTTAAGTAACTTTTGCTTTCCAAAAGTTTTAGGTGCTAGGGGTTTAAAAAAGAAAGGACACCCACCACACATTCTCCACTCTTCTCCTTTGAGCTAAGCTCCCCTTGTCTTATCTACAGCACAACACCCTCAAAACAAGGCAGGGGCAAGCCCTCCTTCTCTCGGGGCACATTCCCAGAGGATAGCAGTGAAGATACCTCAGGCACTGAGAATGAGGCCTACTCCGTGGGCACTGGCCGCAGTGTGGGCCACAGCAGTAAGTACTGTTGCCCAAGGCCAGGGATGCTGGGGGCCCAGTATCCGGGCCTTGCCAGCCCCCTGTCTGCTGATCTGCCCCCTCTCTCCCATTCCTGTGAAGTGGTAAGGAAGAGTCTGGGTCGGGGACCTGGCTGGCTGTCAGAGGATGAGGACTCCCCTCTGGATGCTCTGGACCTGGTGTGGGCCAAATGCCGAGGGTATCCATCATACCCAGCTCTGGTAGGCTTCTGCTTTTCTTGTCATATCCCTTGCCTGTCAACCCCAGAATGCAGACTCACAATTACTAGACTTCTGTTCTGCTGAGCTGCAGAGTACAAGGGTCTTTGGCAGGTAGACAAAGGTCCCCGATTAGTTTATTCATCTCTCCCTTTTCCTTTTCTTTGCCCCTTGGGCTCTGAAATAGTTCAGCATAGGAAGAAGGTCAACATTGCAGCCCTGGAGGCATAATAACCTTTTTATGTCTCCACTGCAAAGGAGACTCCAAATTCTTGGGGAAGAAAGGGACTGAACAAAACTATGGTCTTATTACTCCTTCAGATCATTGATCCAAAGATGCCCCGGGAAGGTATGTTCCACCATGGGGTTCCCATTCCTGTGCCCCCACTGGAGGTGCTGAAACTTGGGGAGCAGATGACCCAGGAAGCCCGAGAGCATCTCTACCTCGTCCTCTTCTTTGACAACAAGAGAACCTGGTAAGGGAGAAAGGGGGCATTTGGTGACCTACAGCCACAAATGCAACCCTGGGTATGGGGATAGGCTGCCAGGAAATTCTAGCAGCAGTCAGACGAAGCTATCACAAATCAGTGGAGGAGGGACTTAGATCTTTGAGCAAAAGGGTTGTGTTGGCCATGAGTCTGAGTGACTGAGTGGGCAGCAGCTCACAGACAACCATAGCTGGAAAACAAAGGACCATCAGTGACTGACAAATATGGAAGTGGTTCTCCACCCAGACTCTGAGTTTTCCCACTTCTGCCTCCATAGTGACAGGATGGGGATAAAGCAGGCATAAACATTCAGATTCTGGATCCCTGTGATCTCATTTACATACATAATCTTTTTGTTTGTCTGCAGAGGATATTTAATACCAGTACAGACTTCCTGGAGCCTATGGGACAGGGTACCTTTTTCAGGTTAGGTCAGGGCTCCTCCTATGAGCAGTTCTTTGAGGGCAGGGACTGTGTCTCTTGGTCTCTGTAACCCCAGTACCCACCACAGCCTGACTTTCAAGAGGTATTTTTAAATGAATGGAGTGAGGAAGGCTGGTGCTTGTAGCTCTCCCAGAAATGACTGACTTGTTCTTCACTTCATCTTATAGGCAGTGGCTGCCTAGAACTAAGCTGGTTCCTCTGGGTGTGAACCAGGACCTCGACAAGGAGAAGATGCTGGAAGGCCGCAAGTCTAACATCCGCAAGTCAGTGCAGATCGCCTATCATAGAGCTCTGCAGCACCGCAGCAAGGTCCAGGGCGAGCAGAGCAGCGAGACCAGTGATAGTGACTGATACTACCTAGCACAGCCCAACCTACAGTGCCCTGCCACCTCTCTCCTTTTTGCTCACTGTCCTGGAGTGGCACCGGCCTCTGCACTGACTCATTCCTGGTCTTGGGGCCAGTCTCAGGGGAAGTTGGGTGGGGGCGGTCCCTCCTGCCCTGAGTGCAGCTGGACTGTACAGAACACTCCAAGGGCCCATGGTGGCTTTGCGCAAGGAAAGAAGAGGTCCCACAGGCCAGAAAGCTCCAGAGACCTCATAGCATTGTAGTGCAGGGTGGTGGGCCAAGGTTAGGACACTGCATAAAACAGGCCATCCCACCACCTATGCCTGCTCATGCCAGGAGAATATAACTGCCTAGTGGCCTGAGGCCATGCAGGTGGTGAGGTGAACAGGCATTGCCCAGCCTAACAGTGGGATTGATGTCTGTCCAGCCCAGAAGAGGGGCACTAGGTGACCCCCCTCCCCTGCTGTTGTAAATACTGTAATTAACGGAGAATTTAAATTATTCTCATTTGTAACTGCGTTTCCGGGTCGCGCCAGAGTCATTTGGTACTAAAAAGACTGGGGCCTGTCCCCTCTTCCCATTGATTCCCCCACCTTTCAAACTGGTTTGTATTTATTTCAAAAGAAGAAAATATATTGATTCTTACAAAATAAATTGTTTGGAATTCTTGGTTCTTGCTTTCTTCCAGGGCAAAGGGAGGTTTTGCCCCCGGGGATGTCATATAATTGGGCCCAAGTGGTTGCAGGCTGCTGATCATACTGCATTTGTAAGACAACAGCAAAGATAATAGGACAGCTCCCATTTCCCATGCACTTACTGTTTGTACCTGTGCTGAGCACTTTCAGATGTAGTTTCATGTATTCTTTGCATTAACTATAGGGGAAGTTAATAATAAGTAGGTTATCTGCACAGACACAGGTTTGAAAAATTAACTTGCTTAAGTTCTCACAATTAGGAAGTTGCAGAGCTAGGATTTTAACTCAGGTCTGTCTGTTTGCAGAGCTGACTCTTTAACCAGTAAGTATGCTGAACTGCTGGAGGAAGAGTCTACTGTTGATTCTTTCATGAACTTCAGATACTTCCAGTCCTTTGCCAGTAAGATGATGGTCAAAGTGCTTCAGAGTCACTATAGTTGTGAGTGACCTTCCCCTTCTTAACTGGGGACTAAGCAGGGATGTAGAGGATTTCTCTTCATTCATTCCCAATCCTGGCACCTTCTTTTCTAATTCAAACATTCATTGAAGGAAAGCCTTCCAAGTGCTAGGTACTTGTGGGCTGACATGCTAGTGGATGAGACAGTCACAGGAAGCAGTTATCAAGGGTCTCAGAGCTACTGAGGGGGGCTATAACAACCACAGCATTTGATTGATGATACCAAATTTCTGGTACTCCGCACTAGGTAGTGTGGGGGCGGCACAAATATAAATCAGCTGCAAATCTTGCCCTTAAGTTATTTGCAATCTAATTCGGCAACCAAAAAGCACTATGGTAGAAAGTTTAAAAAATCACCCAGATAAAAGTGCAGGTCCGCTAGCTTTTTGTGAGTTTCTCCAGAGCCCAGCAGCCAGCCCAGGCAACGGGGCTAAGCAGACAGGCTCAGGGCCACACACTTCCCTTGCATTCTGAATTGCCTTTCGCGCTCCCAGAGAAAGCCCCTCTACAGGCCGTATTCAGCTCGTCAGTGTTAGGTGGCGTTGTACTGGAGGAAAGCTGAGACCAGAACACAGGTGCAGGCGACAGGCGAGACTGGACGATCTGAGTCACGCCTCGGGAGTGAAGTCTGAGGAGGCCCACGAAGGCGAGCGCGAAGACCGAATCCTCAGGAGGCAGACGCTGTGGAGAGTCCTCGCAGGAGCTTGTGGGCCGGAGCTGTGCTCGGGGGCCCGTTGGATTCTCACTGAACAGGGATTTATGGGAGGAGGACTGAGGTGAACGAATAGCAGACTGGGGAGGCCCGGTGGGGAGAAGGGCTTCCTGAAAATGGCAAGGGATTGGATTTGGTTGGGCGGGTAGGCAAGCCTGAGAAATCCATGGCTCAGAGGACATCAGGCAGTGATGACAGGGGCCCGAGGGCGCACTCTGAGCCGGGTCTGTGGGGACTAGCTGGCCTACCTAGCGCAGAGGAAAGGCCCAGAGAGAGCACGCGGCGAGCCCAGCACGCGCTAACCGCTGAGGCGCCTAGCGAAGACCCGCCCGCCGCTGCCGCGCCCGTTTTCATTGGCGCCTCTAACTTCCACGCGGATTGGCTACCTCTGGATCCAATAAACCGGGCTTGAGCCCTGCTTCCTTTAAGAGTGAGGTCAAGCTCTGGAGAACCCGGAAGAGTGTGTTTGCGTGTGCTTCACACGACAACTTCGTGGTACAGTGGCGAGCACCCTGGGGTTGTTGGAGGAGGGGAGGTTTAGAGCAGGAGGTGGGACAGAGTGGAAGGAACTCGACTTGAGTGACGAGTGAGGGGCGGGGCCTGCGAGAAGTGGAGGAATTAAATGAAATTGGGCAGATTTCAAACAGATTAAGAATTTGGGTGAAGCCTGACGGTTCGAGATCTCGGTGGGAGTGGTCTGCTGGCGGCTTGTTGAGCGGGTTCTGAGTGGGTGTGGCCATTATGGGGCGGAGACTGATAAGGAAATATTAGCCTGCTCAGTTTTGCTCGGTAGCATGAGACATCGTACACTATACTCTGTCCCGTCCCTATGGGCCTCCATCCCCTGTCCACTCTCTGAGCTACGCCTGGACTTGGTTCTGGCTTCAGGACAATCCTTCCGGTGAGTGACTGTGGCTCCTGACTCCTCAGCACTGCAGGTCTGGGGTGCAAGGGAATGTTGGGTATGATAGAAGAAACCTTAGGGTACAAAAGAGGAAACGGAGGCACGGGTGTAGAGCCTGTTAGCTCCTTTTTTATTTTTAATAGTCCAGTAATTGTTGGAGAGATGGAAAGATGGTTGTCACCTGTTATCTCTTTAGACGTAATAAGCCTATGCAGTATTATTGTGAGGATAAATTATGTAATTGATGTACAAGAAAGCACTTTTACTTTACAGTTCATTAATCAGTTTTGTATGTGGAGAGGTAAGGTGGGAGGGCCCCAAAGGGTGCAGGAAGGGAAACTGGGTATTATAGCTACCTGTACCTGGGGTCTCAGGTGGAGGGAGCAAAACCCTGCACACTGGAGTGGTGTGCTGGCTGACCAGGTATGGACACTGACCCAGACTGAGGAGAAGCTCTACTGCACTGTGTACCGAGGGGAAAAAGGCCAGACTGGGAAGCCCACAGGAGAAGAGCTGAAGGCCCTACGCCAATACCTCCAGCTGGATGTCAGCCTGGCTCAATTGTATAGTCATTGGAGTTCTGTGGATTCCCACTTCCAAGAGGTGGCTCAGAAATTCCAAGGTGAGTACAGAACCTGGGGCAAGGGTTGGGGTTCTTATAGTTTGGTAGGTTATTCAGTTCCACCATCTGTAAAATGGGGGTTTTATCTACCTCATAGGATTTTATGAGGATTAAAGGAGCTAATACATGTACAGTGTTTAGAATAGTGCCTGATACATAGTAGTTATTTTTACCATTATTTTATTGTCCTGCTGATCACCTTCGTGGAGTGATGAGGATATTAAGCCAAATCCTGTCTGTGTGATTGAGGGCAGGTGACATTCATTATGTAAATATTACAGAGCATTTGCTATGGGACTGGGAATACAGCAGTGAACAAAATGGACACAAATCCCCACTTTTATAGTGGGGATTTGTAGCTTTATCTGTGGAACTGGATGATGACCTAGACCTCTCAACATGCTGTGAGGAATGAAAGTTCCAGTGTTGTTTTCTCTAACAGTGCTGTCTCTCATTCCCCTGGGTGATTCTGATTCAGCTTTCAGAATCAGGGTATTCCCTCTGGTGCCTAAGATCTGAGGGTGAGAGGAGGTCACTATTGACTGCAGGTCCTTCTCCTACTCCCTGCCTTTCCTACCTCCAGGTGTTCGACTCCTACAACAGGACCCCATCGAGTGCCTTTTCTCCTTCATCTGTTCCTCCAACAACAACATTGCCCGCATCACTGGCATGGTGGAGCGGCTCTGCCAGGCCTTCGGACCTCGACTTGTCCAGCTAGATGATGTCACCTACCATGGCTTCCCCAGCCTGCAGGCCCTGGCTGGTGAGTAAATGGGTCTCTGCCCCAAGGCCCACTAACAGTTTTCAAGGTCTATTCAGTTCTCCTGTGGTCCCCATCTTTCATCTCAAAGTTTCCTGCCTTCCCAAAGCCTGCCCTCATCCAGAATCACCCTGCTTGGTCTGATTAGTCCCAGTCATACCTCACCCTCCCTATTTATCCCTGAAATATCCTCACTACTCTGCTTTTTGCCCCATGGGTTTAATGCCACTTCAGAAAAACATCCATATTCAAGGTACAGTACTTTGGGGTTAAATGCACATGGTTTGTTTGTGTGGGTTTTTTTAAGAGGAATTATTTAGAAAGTCACAGAGGTACCTGGCTAGTGTTGCTCAGTGTATTGAGTGCAGGCCTGTGAACCAAAGGGCTGCCAGTTTGATTTCCAGTCAGGGCACATGCCTGGGTTGCAGGCCAGGTCCCCAGCAGGGGGTGCAAGAGAGGCAACCACACATTGATGTTTTTCTCCCACTCTTCCTCCTTCCCTTCCCCTCTCTCTAAAAATAAAATCTTTAAAAGAAAAAGTCACAGGGGTAGAACAAGTGAGCCATAGAAGAAATGGGCTCAGGGAACAAGTTACAGAGGCAAAATAAGGGTGCTTGGAGCTTAGGAGAAAGAGAGAGGCAAGGAAAACATGCCTTGGGGGCAGGTGGGAGGGAAAAGTGCAGGCATGCTCCATAGAGAGAGCCGCTGCACACTTGTTCTAGAAACAGACTGCCTGAGTCTGAATCCAAACTCTGGTACTTAATTATTCTCTGTGCCTCTGTTTCTCCATCTGTTGAATGGGAGAATAACCTATCAGAGTTGCCACAGGGTTAGGTAAAGGAATGCACATACTGCACCTCGCACAGTGCTCAGCATATGGGAAATATGCAGAAAATTCAAATTGCTGTCTCCATAGTGAACCCAACAGTTTTGTGTCCAAGAACATACATTCTTCACAGCAACCCTGTGAAGCAAGTTTTGTTTTGTTTTGTTTTGCTTTTTAAGAGAGAGAGAGAATTGATTTGTTGTTCCTCTTACTTATGCATTTATTGGTTGTATCTTGTATGTTCCCTGACCCAGATCAAACCTATAACCTTGGTGTCTAGGGACAATGCTTTAACCAACTGAGCTCCCTGGCCAAGGTGAGGCAAGTTTTTACAGAGACAAGTATCTCACTTGGCAGATGTAAGGCCTAAGCAAGGGGAAGTGCTTGGGGGCTGCATAGCAAGGAGACAGCCTGCCTGGAGAAAAGAGAGTTTTTGGTGCTTAGAAACCCAATCTCAGGCCTCAGCTTGCAGCTTAGAAATTCATTTCCTCTCCAGGCTACTCTTAACTCATTTGTAGGATGGGAATAAGGGTTCTTATCTGGAAGTGTCTGAGGGGTGAATAAAGCTATCGTGAAGCAGGTTTAGAGCATAGGCATTGGTGTCCCAGACCTGGGTGCAGATCCCATCACTGTGTCCTTTTGTGGCCAAGTTACTTAACCTCTTCTAAGCCCTCATTTTCTCCATCTGTGCAATGGGAAAAACAGCAGTACTTTCTTCAGGGTCCTTGAGAAAAGTGTGATAATGTACCTAAAGCACTTTGCTTGTGTTTGCTCCCTAGTATTTGATCATAGAAGCTATTGCTATTCTTATGACTATTACTTTAGATCATGAGTGTAAATAGCTCTTGGAAAGGTTAAGAAACTCAATTGGGGAGTTTCTTCAGGGCAGCAATCCTTCTGAGTCCCTGTTCCAGTGCCCAACACATAGTAGGTGCTCAGAAAACATTTGTAAAGAGTGTAACCTAGGCCTTAGCCCTGTCCTTTGTACATGCAAGTGTCCTGAGGTCTTCAAAAAGTTGTGAGGTGGGAGAAGGGTGCTAAGGGAAAGCATTCATTTGGCATGGAAGGCTCACACTAGCCTAAGGACATAAAGCATTTGAAGATGCCTGATGTCTGCTTCCTTCCCTACCCCCACGCCCCCACAGGGCCAGAGGTGGAGGCTCAGCTCAGGAAGCTGGGCCTTGGGTACCGTGCCCGTTTCGTGAGTGCCAGTGCCCGAGCCATCCTTGAAGAATACGGTGGGCTTCCCTGGCTTCAGCAGCTGCGCAGGGCCCCCTACGAAGAGGCCCACAGGGCCCTCTGCACCCTGCCTGGGGTGGGCACCAAGGTGAGGCCCCAGTTGGGTAGGAGCTATCCTTACCACCCATGTAGAGAGTAACAGTAGGCCTGAGAGCTGGGTACAGGCTACCATCCATGTAGAAGGTAACAAGGCAGACCCAAGAGCTAGATGCAGGCTTGGCTTCTGGAGGCGGGGTAAGAAGGAGAAAGTATACAAGCAGATATTTTATTAGAGAAAATGCAAAATAGGTGTATAGGACATTGCCCTTTGAATGCATTTGTAGAAAGGTCAGGTACATCTATACACTACTATATGTATGCAGAAATTTCTAGAAGGAACCACAGGAAACTTGGTAGTGGTTACCTTTGGGAAGACAAATAGGAAGATAGTTCTACTTTTCATTTTATTTTTTTCTTGAAATCACATGTACTTATAAAACTTTTTGTTCAATCTCAACAGGGTTAGCTAGCATCAAAATGATTGGGAATCTGACATTTATTGTTTTCTTCTGTCTACTTCTCTGTAGTTTAAAAAATGAATTTTTACTTAAGGAACCTTTTTTAATGGGCTCTGAACTTCACTCTAACATTAAATCTTTGTTCTGCCTGTTCCTAGCCATGTAACTTGGACCAAGTTACTGTACCCTTCAGAACCTCAGCTTTCTTGTCTGCAAAATGAAATACAGTACCAGCTTCTTGCCAGGTTATGATGAGAACCTGGCCTACATAGATGTTCATGTAGTAGCAATCTCATGACAGCTATTTTTAAAATTATTAATAGATGGCATATGTTGAGAATATAGAATAATAGTAACCTCAAAGTGGAGGAGGAAGTAGCTGGCTTTGGGACTAGAAGCAGGATGCTGCCTGGATCCTGCCATTCCTTCTCTGTGGCTCACTCTGTGTCCATCCAAGGTGGCCGACTGCATCTGCTTGATGTCCCTAAACAAGCCCCAGGCCGTGCCCGTGGATGTCCACATGTGGCAGATTGCCCAACGTGACTACAGCTGGCATCCTACCACAACCCAGGCCAAAGGTCCAAGCCCCCAGGCCAACAAGGAACTGGGTAAGTGGGGAGATGCCAGGGCTAACAAAGACTGAGGCCATGGAAATTTCTCACTCCTCTTCCTAAAACCCCACCCCTGTGGATGGCAGTGGGAGGGGCCAACTTATTTTGCCTCATTACTTTTGATTTAGGAAACTTTTTCCGGAGCCTGTGGGGCCCTTATGCTGGCTGGGCCCAAGCAGTGAGTATACCTATGCTTTCTCTCTTCCTCAGTCCAGACCCCATAGAACTTCTCCACCAGCCCTGACCCAGATGACCCTAAAGGATTTTCTACCCTTTGTTCCCAGCCCTGACTCTAGTGGACTTGCATTGTCCTGGGTCTGCTCCCTAGGAACTCTGTGTCCCCTCACACTACCACCGGCCCAACTCTCCCTAACCCCAGTGTACCTTCTCCTGACACAGACTTCCCCGTCCCCAGGTGCTCTTCAGTGCTGACCTGCGCCAGCTCTACCAAGAGCCACCAGCAAAGCGCAGAAAGAGATCCACAGGGCCTGAAGACTAGGTGGGAGGCACAGGACAAAGGGATTCTCCCAGTACCTTTTCCCTCCATTCCCCATTATTCTCCATCCAGCCTCGTATTGGGAAGAGGGCTCCATGCAACTACCTCAGGGGGCAGGCACCCTCAAATTGAGCAGTTTGTACAATAGTGTGGAGTGGGGGTTGTCTGGGCAGACAAAGCTACCTATGGTTTAATCCTCTTCCCTTTATTACAAGAAGGAACAATAAAATAGAAACATTTGTATGGAAAATGCAGTGGAGGTGTGGTAGGGAATGGGTGGGGCGGGGAAGGGTAACCCCAGTTCAAGGAGGGAAGGGGAGTAGGCTGCCCCCATCTCTCCCACACAGGGGATCCTGACCCTGGATCCAGAGTCCTAGAGGTGAGGGGGCAGTCTGGGGGACATTTCTGGGCCCGGCTCCACACAGCAGTCTCGACAGCAGCAGCCAGCTGCTGACCCTACATGAGAAGAGAAAACAAACTTAGCTGTGGAAGCAGACCCTCCACTCCAACCTGGTCGCCTCTTCGTGGACCACCCATGCCCTTCCACAGAGCCCTGGTCCTCACCCCCAACTGCTGGTGTCAGCAACTCCCCATGGCTCGAAGTCTGTCCCTGCCCCTCCTGGCTGGTGCCCAGATGTAGCTTCCTCATGTGCCGCACCACAGCTGTGGCATTGAAGGCTTGCTGTGGGGAGAGGGGGAAGAAGGGACTTTTGAAAGAGTGGGAGACCGTGGGGCAGCGTCTGGCAGGGGGATTCTTGCAGTGGTTCCTTCTTTTTTAGGTATTAATGATTGATCCCCTAAAACCACCTGAAATATCTATAAGGCTTTATTAAATGCAGCCATATTATGTATTTGCATATATATGCACATATATAAAGAGTATATATTAACAGATACATAACTTTTTTCAATTTAAAAAATTTTATTTATTTATTTAGAGCAGGAAAGAGAGAGAAACATCAGTGTTGCAGAGAAACATAGATTGGTTGCCTCTTGCACACCTCCAGCCAGGCCCCTGGCCCACAACCCAGGTGTGTGCCCTGACCGGGAATCGAATTGGCAGCCCTTCAGTTCACAGACCAGCACTCAATCCACTGGGCCACACCAGCCAGGGCTATGTAGCTTTTTATATATAATTAATCCATATTCACATTATAGCAAACACTTAATATAGCATTGTGTCAGGCATCATTCTAAACACTTTACATACTAATTCATTTAATTTTCACGGAAGTCTTTGAGGTGAGTCCTATTAGTATCACCACTGTCAAAGGAGGAAACAGGCACAGAGAGGTTAAGTAACTTGCTCAGGTTTGTATATTATTCAGCATATCCAAGTACATGTCCCTATCCACTCCTCACGTTCACCATATCCAAAACCAAAGTCATCCCCCAAAGATAAGTTTCTGCTCCTGGGATCTCCATCTCAGTGATGGTACCACTGTCCTCCCTATCCCCAACAAAAATTTTGGGCCAGCCCTTGACATCCTTAGCCCAACATCCATCCTATCATCACTTCTTGTCAATTCTACCTCCTAATCGACTCCTAGACCAGCCACTGTTCTCTGTTCCTGTTGCCCCGGCTCTGATCCAGCCTTCACTGTCTCCTGCCTGCACCTCTGCCACAGCCTCCTAAAGGGACTCAGCCTTCTCTCTGTGCCTCTTTTTGTTGAGAGCCCTTTCTAAAGGGCAAGTTCCTGCTGAAAATCCTGGGGCTCAATCATAAGTCAGGGCCCCAATGTGGCAGTTGAGACTCTGAGCAGCCTGGCCCCTACTTGCATATCCAGCCTGGGCCCCTGCCTCAGCCACTCAGTCCCTACTGCCCCCAAAGCCCTTTCAGTCCAGCCAGGCTTAGCACTGGCACATCCTTGGATGGCTATACTCTCTTGCCTTTGGCCCTTTGTACATTGGTCCCCTCTACCTTAGATATTATTCTGTGCCTGGCTAATTCCTACCTAGCTGCCAGGTCTTTAGGCCCCTTGCAGGACCCTGTGGGTTGGATTTGATGTCTCAAGAATTATACACTTCCCTCTAGATTTCGAGGTCAGGTACTCTCACTGGAATAGAGTAGGTGACATGGAGCACTGAACAAATGAATGAAAGAGGTTCTTCAGCCCTGGCCCAAGTTGCTTGGTGGGCATTGTCCGGCAAAGTGAAAGATTGCTGGTTCAATTCCCAGTCAAGGCACATGCCTGGGTTGGAGGCCAGCTACCCAGTTGGGAGCATGCAAGAGGCAATTAATGTTTCTCTTTCTCTCTCCCTTCCCTTCTCTCTAAAAATAAATAAAATGTTTAAAAAGAAAAAGTTTCTTTAGTAAGCATTCTTGACTGGTTACTGTGTGCCCAACTTGGTGCTAGGTGTTGTGCAAACTAAGGCCTGGTTGGGAGTGGGGAGGAGTTCTGGGTAGGCTGGGACCCAGGACTAAGGACATGGGCTCACCTTCCACTTGCTCTTGGCAAAGTTCTTCTTGATCTGCTCACTCACTGACTGGTGAATATTCTTATCCAGAGCCGTATCTCCTGCAATCCTAGGGTAGGGGTGTGTGGAAGGTTATCTGTGAAGGCAGAGCAGGCCTGGGGGCCCTGGGCCCCACCCCAGTTTGCAGGTCATCGGAGTTCTCACCATGGGTGCTGCAAGGCCTGCTCACAGGTGAACCTCTTTTCTGGATCCTTCTCCATCAAGTGCCGGATGAAGTCTTTGGCTGAGCCCCCAAGACAAAAGCAAAGACGGAAATGCCTGTGGACACCCCCAAAACAGAACCTACCTCCTCAGGTCTGGCCTGGTATCCAAGCAAGACGAGGCCAGATCTGTCCATGCACCGCCCCACCCCACCTTTTTTCTTCTCTAAGCCCCCCATCCACCCCAGCCTTCCAGCTGTCTCCTTTTTCCCTTAAGAAAAACTTGTTCTTAGAAAAGGTTCTACTCAGTGTATTCACACTGATGTGTAAATGATTAATAATGGTTTCATAGGTTTGCCTCCTACTAGGAGGCACAAAAGGACAGATGAAAACTTTTATGTGGTGTTTTAGGCATTAGAAAGTCAATGGGGGAAGTATTTTCAAAAATACTATGTTTGAAGGCAGAATGAATGAATGAATGCCTACAGGTTTCTCAGATCAGGGCCAGGCAGAGGGAAGAACCTGGGGTGGGTGTCTCAGACAGCTTCGTCTGGGGCTGGGGAACTGATTGAAGGAAGGCAGTGAGGAGGCCCCCAAAGCATGAGGAAAGCACTAGAGGCAGCGCCCAGGGGAAGACCGCAAAGCCCCAAATACCAGAGTCAGAGATGTCGTCCCAGTAAGGAGAGTCAAACTCGTACTCGGCCTTCAAAATCTGTTCAAAGAGTTTGGCATCATTCTCGTCATAGAAGGGGGGGTAACCGCAGAGCCTGGGCAGGGAGAAACTCATCCTCATTTCCATTTTCAGTGTACACACTGGCTCCGGATGGAGCTTTGGGGCAGTCCCAGGGGTCAGGCAAGACCCACAGGAAAGAGTTTCCCCTTTTACAAAGGGGGCTGGGGAAATCTACCCCTCTCTGCCTTATTCACTCCTGTCCAGCTCCACTTTCTGTTCCTTAACATGTCATCTTTTCTTCCTCAGGGCCTTTGCACTTGCTGTTTAGGTCTGACTCCCTCACTTCATTCAGGATGCCAGTCAAATGTCACCTCCTCAGAGAGGACTTCCCTAACCTTTTCATCTAAAATGGCATCCATTCCCCTCTCTCTACCCTACTTCATTTTTTATAGTACTTTTTAACCACTTGACAATATTTTATGGATTTATTTACTCATTTATTTACTTTTCTCTGTCACCTACTTGAGTGTCTGCCTCCTGAGGGCAGAAACTTTATTTTGTTCTCTGCTAAATCCTCAGTGCTTGGTTCAGTGCTTGGTACAGTGCCTGAAACATAGTATCTATTGGATGAAGTAATATTAGTCATTGATTGGTAGATAAAAATGTGGATGGCAAGAAGGAAGAAATAGCAGAGGGGAGGAAGAGAACACAAAGTAGGGGAGAGGAGAAGTCTGGAACCGTATACCCCAGCGGCCAGGCCCCCACTCACAGGATGTAGGCGATGACTCCGATGGACCAGCAGTCCACTGCCTTGCTGTAGGGCTTCTGTGCCAGGACCTCAGGGGCTGTGGAGGAAGAGGACATGGTGGTGACAAATCTGCCCTGCGGCTCCTGGTTCCTCCCCCTCCCATGGCCTCAGCCCAGGTCCTTCCGCACCCACGTATCCCGGGGTCCCACAGGCCGTGGAGAGTACACTGCCGGGGTCCTCCATTTTGGAGAGGCCAAAGTCGGAGATCATGATCTTGGAGTCTTCGTCCAGGCTGTAGTACAGCAGATTCTCTGGCTTAAAGGGCAGGAGGGAGGGGAAGGCGCAGTCAGAGGCTGGCCAAACCTTCTGTTTCCCCAAGCAACCCTGGGGAACAATGGGACCCCAAAAGCCACTGTGGCTTCACAGATGCTATCTCAGTTGGAAGCACAAGAAACTGAAGGACGTTCTCAAGGAGGTTAAAAGTTCCAGAAAGGACAGGGCTGTGAAGAGGTGGGAGGGAATTTTCTGTAAACCTCAGGTGTTTATTGTGAAACCCTAAAGACATAATTTTGGAACACCTACTGTATGCCACAACTTGACTAGCGCTTGATTTCATTTCAGCCTTACCACATCCCTACCTTAAGATGAGGAAACGGATGTCTTGAGAGGAAAGTCTATACATAGTGACTTGCCTGAAAACCTACACTTAGGGAGTAACAGGGTCAGGATTCAAACTCAGTTCTGTCTCACCCCAGATCTGGTCTTCTCCTAGACTGGAATGAGATGTACTACAACATGTGAACCCCATCATAATCTGAGAAGTAGGATTTCAGGGGTTTCTGGCTTCATTATGTTTTGCTCTTCCATCCAAGTTTTCTACAAAGTGCAAATGGGACTTTTATTATCAGAAAAAGACACAAGACATTACTTGGATGACATGACAGTAGAGTTCACCTTTGTTTCCATTTGCGTGCCCGAACTGGAGTGGGAGGAGGCAATTTAAGGCTTACAAGGTCCACTTTGCAGATGAGAAGTCAAGGTTCAGAGAGGGGGTGAGAGTTACCCAAGGCCACACAGTGAGGAATGTGCAGAGCCCCCATCCCTGGGTGCCCCAGCTCACCATACCCTCACACCCCACCTTGAGGTCCCGGTGTACGATGCCCAGGTCGTGCAGATACTTGACAGCATCCAGCACCTGGAATATAAGGCGG